AAGCGGCGAGCGGGGCATCGGGAGCCCCGAGTGTTACAGCCCAAGTGTCACAGCCTCATGGGGTCAGGCTTTTCAAGCCCGTTGGGCACCAGCTGCGGTCACCGCCAGCAGTGGCCACTCCTCTGTTCTCATGGGTGCTGCTCCTTCGTTCTCACGGGCATCAAGGCTGCTCCTCTGCTCACCCTGTGCTGAGGCCGCTCTTCTGCTCGCCTGGTGCTGAGGCAGCTCTTTTGCCCTGTACTGCCTCTTGTTGTCGTTGCTTCTGCCCGGTCCCACACCCCAGGGCTGGTGAGGAGACTGTGTCAGTAGAGCCACATTCAGACACAGGAGACCAGGTTCAGTGACATAGGTCTGCTTTATTGCAGGAAGGCACAAACTTATATAAGGGTAGTGGTCCAATCACAGCACAGCAAGTAGAATACCTCATTAGCATAACAGGTTTAGCGTCCTATCACAGTACAGCAAGTAGGATACCTTATTAGCATAACAGACTTAGCATTCTATTAGCATAACAGACTTAATGTCCTATCACAGAATAGAGGGTAGGATGCCTCATTATTATACTGGGTTTCAGATTACAGAGACTGGATTCCTGGAAACCATGTGACCCTGACAGTTGCAATATCACCCTAGGCTCAAGCCTGTCTCCCACAGCCCACCACAATTTCAGACTCAAGCCTGTCTCCCACAACTACATAGATCAGGTTGGCCTTGAATTCACAGAGATCTTCCTGCCTCTGGAGTGCTAGGCTTAATACTATGCTTTTGTAAAAAAATATTTTATTTATTATTTTTATTTTATGTGTATGCGTGTATTGCTTGCACGTAGGTAAGTGTAGCTGTGTTGCGCAATGCCCGTGGAGGACAGAAGAGGCTGTTGGATCCCCTGGAACTGGAGTTATGGATAGTTATTAGCTGCCATATGGGTGCTGGGATTCGAATCCCAGGTCTTCTGCTCAAGAACAGCCAGTGTTCTTAACTGCTGAGCCATCTCTCCAGCCCTAATACTATGCTTCTTAAACACCCTCAATACAGAAATAATGATCCAGAAATATTTCAAAGCTGAAAGTACATTGCCATAGGCAAAGAAAATTTTTTATCATGTGCTCAACTGTCAATAAGTTTTTTCTCATCAACACTCAATGTTCAAATTCAGTTGTTTCTTTTCCTCATTAGGGATCCACACAACTTTAAGGTAGATCCATTATGCAAGGTTGATATTCTCTTGTGAAATAAGAATATGAAGAGATGGCCATGTGTGGAGAATGTTATCTTTCTGGAAAAAAAATCTATCATCTGGAAGTTGCAAAATAAACCTCTATATAACAAAATCATCAAATTTTCATGGAATGTTTCTCAGTAAACTACTTTTTTTTTTTTGTTGGTCTTTTTGAGACAGGGTCTCTCTGTAGCCCCAACTGGTCTGGAACTCACTATGTAGACCATGCTGGCCTTGAGCTCACAGAGAGTGCTGAGATTACAGGCATGTATCATCAGACCTGGCTTTAAACTAAATAAATTCTTGCTGTCATTTTAACAGATAATCATTTTAGCCAAATTTGGTGGTGCACATCTGTAATCCCACCATTTGAAAAGTTTAGGCAGGAGGCTTGTGGATTTGAGACCAGTCCATGCTACATAATGAGATCTTATCTTTCTAAAAAGAAAATTTAGGTGTGGTGGTGCACGCCTTTAATCCCAGCACTGGGGAGGCAGAGGCAGGCCAGTGAGTTCAAGACCAGCCTGGTCTACATAGTGAGTTCCAGGACAGCTGGGGCTACAGGGAGACCCTGTCTCAAAAAGAAGCCCTCCCCACCAAAAAAAAAGAAAATTTAAATTTTAGAGTAGCTATTTCAGGTCATTCTTCCTAAAAAGTTAGTTAAGAGGATTAAGGGTCTACCAAGACCATCCTAAATTTAAAACAATAAAACCACATCAACCTGGAGGTTATTACTTAGGTGTTTTCTCTAGTAGAAGTCTGTGGAAGAGAAACAACACAGACAGTTGGACCTTGAGGACTTTTCGAGGCAGATGAATTCACATCTAGGTGAGGTTAGCTCCTTGGTTTTAAATGGCCTATGTGGTTGAAAAACACCAGCCTGGAAAATAGGAAGCCTAGGTTCTAGTGGGTGTGGTAGCTCACACCTATAATCCCAGCAGTCAGGAGACTGAGGCAGGAGGATTGCCATGAGTTCAAGACCATTCATTTTAACTGAGTTCTGGACCAGCCTGGGCTCAGAGTGTGAACTAGTCTGTCTTTGTCTCTCTCTTGCACGTACATATACAAAACCTTAGACCTAGTTTCAGTCTTGGATCTAAAGTAGCTCACAGCTTCTGACCAAGTCCTTTTAACTTCTGAGGAACTCAATTTTCTCTATGCTGAAGAATTTAGGCTAGGTGTTGACTAAAGTCAACTTCCATCTTCTTCCAACTTTCAAGATTGATATCAAATAATATGGGCATCCACTGTTTGTAAACAGGAAGATTTATTCTTAAGTCATAAATCTAACAAAAATACAGACATAAAGCTGGGCTTGGTGGTGCACATGTGTGGTCCAATCTACTTCATTAGGATGAGGCAGGAACACTACTTGAGTCTCAGAGCTGGAAAGCAGCTTTTTTTGAATATGTATTTTGTTTGTTGAAATATTTTTTATATAATTTTATTTATTATTGTGTGCGTGTACATGTGTACCACAGTGTGTGGTGTGTATAGGCCACAGGACAACTTTGAGGAGTTGTTTCTCTCTTTCCAATTTCATGTGGATTATGGGCATCAAACTCAGGCTGTTAGGCTTACACAGCAAGCACCCTTAAGGTGTTGAACCATCTCACAGTCTCAGGAAGCAGTTTAAAAACAAAACAAACAAACAAAAAAACAAAAACAAAACAAAAGCCAGGCATGGTGGTGTACTCCTTTAATCCCAGCATTCCGGAGGCAGAGGCAGGTGGATCTCTGGAAGTTGGAGGCCAGCCTGGTCTACATAGCAAGCTCGAGGCCAGCTGGGGCTACAGGGAGACCCTGTCTCAAAAAACAAACAAAAAACCCAACCCCTCCAACCACAAAACTAAAAACAAACAACAGAGGAAGGAAAGGGAGGGAAAGAAAAACTCTTTAAAAAGCGTCATTTATTTCAGTTTCATGTATAAATATTATTTTCTCTATGTAGGATGTTATCAAAAAGATGAAAATCAAAGAAAGATCAGTGTTAGGGTTATAGTTCAATGGTGGAGTGCTTGCCTAGCATGTATGAGGCTCTGGGTTAGACTGTCACTATTGCAATCATGAGAAAGCATGGTGTTCTAAATATGTATTATTCAATAGGCATTTGAATTATTCAATATACAGTTGGCAATGCATATGAAATGTAACATCCTGTCCTCAAGAAGTTCTTAATATGTGGTTCAAGTAAATAAATATTGTTACCAAAGTGAGCATATAGGGCCTATGTCTACAGGGGGAAATGCTTGATTTGGACAGTAAATTTAGAGATTCTAGACTTGCTCCTTCAAGGATGAGAATGTTTTAAAGCATGGGTGAAGAATTCTACACAGAAGAATTACCATGTATTGAACTCTTATTTTCATTATTAAGGAAACATCAAATTCAGACTTTTTTCCCCCTGGTGAATTTGCTGAGTTGAGATGAGAGCTAATATTGATTGAGTGCCACAGCGTCCTGCATTATGTTAGGTACTACTTTTCGTGATATCTCATTTAATACTCTTTTTAAAAACAATATTTATTTTAAATATTTTCTTTATTATTATTTTATGTGTATGAGTGTATTGCCTACATGTATGTGAGTACACTGTGTCATGCAATGCCTGCGGAGGACAGAAGAGGCTGTCAGATCCCCTGGAACTGGAGCCAAGGACAGCTGTTAGCTGCCATGTGGGTGCTGGGATTCAAACCCGGGTCTTCTGCAAGAACAGCCAGTATTCTTAACCGCTGAGCCATCTCTCTAGCCCCTTAATATTCTTTTAAAGATCATTTTACAACTAAGATTAAATAGTCAGATGATCACGTAAGGTTCCAAATTAAGGCTACTTGTCTCCAAAACATTTGCTCCTGCCATAACTGCTACTTCCTTCAAAGAATGAAGCATTTTCTTCAAAGTTCTAAAATATGTATAGTTTCTAAAGCCTCTTTTGTGACTCTTTCCCAAGCCTGCTGCAGAGTCCAATAATTAGGGAGCATCTTGAAATTCAAGAACTAGGTTTAGATGGGGGCCTAGAATAGGTATTTAAAGAAGCATTTGATTCATGAGTAGTGGACCTGTAGGAAATACTGGGTAAATGCCCTGGCCTAACTGATCTAATTTCTAGCCTCTTCAAACCCAATCCCTCCCTCCAGCCCCATTTTCCGACACTTCTCTCAAGGTCCCTAAAGATGGCTATACTATTTCACATAGATTCACTTGCTTATAAGTATTACCTCTCTCTACTTCTTACCCAGCGCTTATTCACTTACAAATCACCCCATCCTTACTATTGCCTTGGACACAAGTAACGGTGACACCTGGGAACAGAATTGTGACCAATATTAATTGAATCTTCAGGCACTGGAGGCAGTTACCACTGTTATCCCCCAATCAGTAAATAAGAGGCCTGAAAGAGACGCAGCTGCGATAGCTTAGCATCAAGAGCATCCGTGTCTCAGTTCATCCGGGAAGCAGCGCCTCAGTGCACACCGCGGGCAAAGGCCCTCAAGCCAACTGCCACCTCGTAAAGCGCGCCCTTGAGCTTGTGAGTGGCTGCCAAGGGGGCACAACCATGTTCCTAGAAGTTATTGGGATCCCTGAGCGTCCAGGCTGGGAAGAGAACCACCCACTCCTTTCCAATATGGCGGCGCGGGGGGGTCACGCGGGCTAAGGGCGGTGCCAAGAGCTCGCTGGGGCGGGGCCAACGGGTAGACTGAACGAATCGCGGGCCTGCGGTCCTTAGTGGGCGGTGCCTGAGGGCGTGGCCTCCCCGGAGCCTCCTGGGCAGAGCCTGTTCGCGGGCCACGCCCCTTAAGCCCTGGGGGCCTCGCGCGCCACTAGCGGGGCGGGGCCTTCCGCGTGACCTTTCACCCCAGCATGGCTGCGCCCGTGGGACCCGTGAAGTTCTGGAGACCCGGTAAGGCTCGGGACGGAAGCCTAGGCCGGCGCGGCGGCCCGACCTCTGGCCTAGGGGAGCCGCCCGTGGGTCTGACCCCGAGGGCTGGGAACCCGCGTTTGCGCGGTGGATGCGGGTGGACGCTGGTGGATGCTGGTGGACGCGGCCGCCCTTGGTGGTCGCGAGGGAGTCAGGGCCGCCCCCAGCCCGGGCGGAATCTCTGTGACACTGTTCGGGTCCCAGCCTCCTCGGGCTTCATGTTCCTGGTCCTGACACCCTCGGGAGATGGGGCATGCTGATGCACCCACGCGTGCCTGGCTACCGCCCCGGGCTGCATTGGGACCCCACAGGCCGTGCAGCCCCAAGGACTTAAAGCTCAAGCCGTGGTGCCAGATGCACTACCCGTGTTCAAGCTTTCCCTCCGCTTTGCCGCGGTAGGTGACCTTGGGCAGTTTGCCAGTTCCTCTGAGCATCGCTCCCCTCACATGTGCAGTGTGGGCAGTGCCGACACCTGTCCTGTGGGCGTAGAGGCAAGAGCACATTCCTGGACTTAATTGCCCCTAAAGGGAAAGTGTGTTGAGTCTTTCAGGGTAGGTCTTGCCCACTCGGAATGTTAACCACAGAGTAAACTCCCTCCGTGTTATGGGCCGTTACCCACTTGCAGGCTAGCACAAATCACTATCACGGGAAATACTTTTTTGTTTTGCCCTCACTTTCTTAATCAGGTTTTACGGAATTATGTATACTAGATTGCGCTCTTCTGTTGTCCTTCCCTTCCTTTCTTGTCAAAATACGCTAGGTGTCCTAACAAGTATCAGTTTTATTTTTCTCCTCTACCTGCACCTTTATAAAAGGTATGGGACAGACAAGGTAATATAAGGAAAGCTATTTAGTTATTTATTTTTTACTTATTTATTTGTCTTTTTGAGACAGGGTCTAGCTGTAGCCCCAGCTGACCTGGAACTCACTATGTAGACCAGGGTGGCCTTGAACTCACAGAAATCCCCGAGCCTCTGCCTCCCGGTTGCTGGGATTAAAGGTGAGTGCTATGCCACCATGCCTAGTTACTTATTTATTTTTTAAAATCTTTTTGAGATAGGTTCTCCCTATAGCCCCAGCTGGCCTGGAACTTACTCTGTAGAACAGGCTGCCCTTGATCTCAGAGATCTACCTGTTCTGCCTCTGCCTCCTGTGTGTGAGTTACTGGCTTTAAGATGCCTGACACGGAAGGATTTTAAAGGGTGTTTTAGAGTGGGTCCCTGGAATTCTGATGGTGTGCATAAGTGTTCTGGGAAATAAACTCAAGCAAAGGATGCACTTCTTTTTTAAAAAACTATATTTTGTTTCTTTAGTGAGAGTTTTATGATACAGCTTTGCAGAGCATCAGCCAGTTGACCATCCTAAGGTTTTATTTGCAGTGAAAGCTAAAATCCCATTAAGTAATTTATTTCTTCAAGAGTTTAGCAGCAGGCCTGTCATTTTATACTCTTACTGAATTTCTAATCCTATGGTCAGGAGACGGGTATGGGTGATCAGGGCCCTGCTCTCAAAATGCATTCTCTCAGTTGAATATGAAGGTAGGTGTCCTAATCATTAGAAGAGAATTTAAGCTGAGGTAGTGACGACCTCACCGGGTGTGGTGGCGCACGCCTTTGATCCCAGTACTTGGGTGGCAGAGACAGGCGGATCTCTGTGAATTTGAGGCCAGCCTGGTCTACATAGTGAGTTCCTGGCCAGCTGGGGCTACAGGGCAACCCTGTCCCAAAAAGAACAAAATGGTCTCAAGTACCAGACTGCAGTGCCTTCCCTGCCCACTACTTACTACCTTGATGACTTGTAGAGTCTGTTACTCCATCCGTAATTTGTCATAATGGGATTTTTTGAGGATTAAATGAGAATAATGTGTGAAAATCTCTTGGCACTAGGCACCATAGCTATTATAATTATATGGAAGGATAGAAGGAGGGAAAATTGAAATGTGTGAAAACACAGTAGTATACTGGAGTGAACATTGAGGGGTGAGGAAGGTTTTGTGTGTGGTGAGGTAGGGGAGTGACACTCCAGGCAAAGGGTGCAGTGTGAACAAAGGCAAAGTGGGATTTGTATCTGAAGAATACTAAAAAAAACCTCAATAATGAAATGGTATTATACAGCGGGGTATATTTTGGGGTGTGGAGGGAGAGGATGCTCGAAAGGTAGGAAGGGACCTCATTTTGAAATGTCTCAGTGGCAGGATAAATTTGGCCTTCGAGGTTGGTGAGATGGATCAGCACATGTTTGCTGTGGAAGTCTGATGACCTGAGTTCGATCCCCAGAGCCCACAAAAGGTAGATAGAGAGGACAGATTCCACAGAGTTGTCTTTTGACCTCCACATACATGCTCTAGCAATATGCCCATACACATGTGCTGGTGTGCGTGCATGTGCATGCACACACAGAGAATAATAATAAATTAAAAAAAAATAGAAGAATATGGGCTTTGCTGTTTTATGCAGGGGAATTACAGAGGTTTACTTTGGAAAGATTACCTTGGCAGTGGTGTGGCAGAAAGCACCACTCTTAAGAGAGGATGCTACTAAAATCCAGGATGGATATTGAAAACCTCAGTTCTAGCCTGGGACTGACAGGGAGCTGAGGGTGGGTGAGGTGGGGGTGTGTGTGTGGTTTAGACACTTTGAAGTTAACATGAGAGAAGGTGCAGTCAGTAGTAACTTCCTTGAGTTCTAGATTGGATGGCTGTCTAGGTAGTGGGTCTCAAAGTTTGCTGTAGAATTGAATCAAGTTGGAAAACTAAAAATATTCTGATGTCCTTTCATACCTGTGATCATTAAATCAGGAACCAGGCAGTAGTATGCTCTAAACTTTTGGGGGGCTTCTCATATACATCAAAGGTTGGGAACCGCTAACCTAGTTAAACTGCAGGTTTGAGTAGCTTCGGTAAGTTTGTATCCAGCCCTTGACTGGTCACTCATTTACAGCATCTTATCAACTAGTCACAACATCTCTGTGATGAGTGAATGCTCTTATTCTTATAGAGAAGCAAACTCAAGTTCAAGACCTGAAATGGACCATGAGAATTGCAGGTCAAGGAGGTGGTTGAAGCTGGATTTAAGGTTAGGTCTCAGAATCGTGAGCATATCCTGTAGACCAGGAGTCGCAGACTCAGAAGACTGTAGGGTTTTTAGACAGTCTAAATAAGGGAAGCTGATTAATAAAATAGTGTGTGATGGGAACTGAGGGCTTTTGCATGTACTGTATAGATGTGTATAGATAAATACTGTGTACTAAGCTTTACCTGATTGTTATGTGGGCTCAGAGTGGCCAGATTGTTTTAGACAGGATCTCCCTTCAGTTGCCCAGGCTGGCTCTCTTTCTCTTTTTTAAAATATTTATTATTTTAATTTTATGTGTATAAGTGTATTGCCTGTGTGTGAGTGCACCTGTGTCTTTCAGTGTCAGTGGGTGTCTCAGAAGAGGGTGTTGGAACCCTGGCACTGGAGTTATAGATGGTTGTTAGCCACTATGTGGGTGTTGGGGACCAAACTTGAGTCCTCTGCAAGAGCAGCCAGTGTTCTTAACTGCTAAGCCATCTCTCCGGTCTGGAGGCTGGTTCTCTTGATCCTTCTCTTAGCCTAGGTAGGTCTTATACTTATGATCCTCCCACCTCAGCCTTCTGAGTAACTGGGATTACAGTTCCATGCCCAAACTTGGCTCTCAAGAGGGAAAAATTTGGTTGATGTTTATTTATTTATCTTTTTTTTTTTTGGCCTTTTTGAGATAGGGTCTCCTGTAGCCCCAGCTGGCCTGGAACTCACTTTGTAGACCAGGCTGGCTTTGAACTCACAGCTCTCCGCCTTCCTCTGCCTCCCAAGTGCTGGGATCAAAGGCGTGCGCCACCACGCCCTGCCTTGGTTGATGTTTTAAATGAACTGAACTGTTTTGCTGGGTGAGGTGGCAGTTGCCCTTAACCCTAACTCTTAGGAAGCTGAGGCAGAAAGACGGAGAGCTCAAGACCTTGATCTTAAAGGCTATCCTGAGCTACATACATAAAACCAAATTCAACATAACCAATCTCTCTTCTCAAAACAACAAAACTATTTTGAACATGATTTCTAACCTAGTAATGTGGTGTACTAACCTTGAATGACCTGAGATTTTTCTAGAAAAATCTTCACTTTATGTATTGGCACACATGGATTAGAAGGGCCTGTCTATTTTAATTGCTCACACAACAGATAATTCTTGTTGACCTTGTGCCTTTCAAAAACGTTACTGAACAATTTTGAAGGTTTTTGACTTGACTCAGTAAGAATTGTGTTGTGCGGCTGGAGAGAGATGGTTCAGAGAGATGGTGCTGCTCATGCAGAAGACCTGAGTTCAGTTCCCAGCACCTGTGTCAGGTGGCCCAGAACTCCCTGTAACTCCAGCTCTGTCCTGGTTTGTTTCTCCATTGCTGTGACAGAACACTCTGACCACTACCAACTTGGGGAGGAAAGGCTTTATTCAGCTTACATCTCTTGGGTCATAGTTCATCTGGGAGCCCAAGGTAGGAACTCAGGGCAGGAACCTGGAAGCAGGAGCTGAAGCACAGGCCATGGAGGAATGCTGCTTACTGACTTGTTCCCCTGGCCTCTGCTCAGCCTGCTTCTTATGCAAGACAGGCCCACCTGCCCAGGGGTGGCACCACCCACAGTGGGCTGGGCCCTCCCACATCACTCAACAATCAAGAAGGCCCCACAGTCATGACCACAGGCCAGTCCAATGAAGGCAATTCCCCAGCTGAGGCTCCCTCAACCCAGGTGTGTCAGGTTGACACTAAAGCTATCCAGCACAAGCTCCAAGGGATCCAATACCTTTTTCCAAGTGTGCCCTCACAAATGCGCACATACACAAAAATAATTATGTCGTGTTGTGATTTAGCAGACATACGTAGTGGAAAGTTGTGCAAAAATACTACTGCCTTTTGGAATATTACATTTCTGTTTTCTTCCTCTCTCTTCCCTCTTTCCCCTCCTTTTCCCTGTCTTCTATTTATGGTGAAGAGTGAGCCCAGGCCCTCATGCATGATAAAGGTGTACTCTTATTGAAATCTACCCTCAGCCCCTATTTCTGTCTTCTTTAAAGAGAGTGTTGGCAAGAGCCATCATGTTAGCCTGGTATCCACTAATGGCTCACCATTTGAGAAGCTAGCTTGCAGGGATGTTGGATTAGGAAGCCTGTTATCAGCCTTGTTTTATAGATGGGGAGATGAAGGCGTTAATGGTTTGTGAAAATTACAAGATGCTACTCCCAGTTAAACACTAGCCATAAACAGAGTGGGCTGTGGGGTGTGCATTGAGGGAAAGCAGCCCTGGTGTTTTTGTTTGACTAGATGAAGTCTTTTGTAAGAAGAAAAGCTCATACTGATTGGCAGCAGCTGTTCTTGTAAAAGCTCTAGGTTAGAGACAATAGAGGGACTATTGTCTGGGGCCCTGGACAGGGCTGTGGAAGGAAGTAGGCCTTGCAGGAACAGTGTTAAAATATTCCAGATGTGAGGCTCAGAGGTGGTTCAGTGGTTAAGAGCATTGGCTGCTCTTGTAAAGGACAAAAACAGGGCAGAAGAGGATAAGGTGTTCTCTGCCATTGTTTTCTTGTTTAAGAGTTCAGAAAGTCCTATGATACAGCAGTGGTAAAAGCAGGAAGTGAAACTTGTTTCTCTCAGCACAGTCTTTGAAGGTTAGCATTTTGACAGAAACAGCATAGTAGTGGCCCACTTACCTGCCTTTCAGCAGTGTTGAACATCTGGAACACAGCCATGTTCCTGGAGTACTCAGAAAGGGGCTGGAGATCTAAAGTATTAATGGTGAACTTGGTTCTGGGAGTCCGCAGACTCCCAGCATGTTTTTCCTGGGAGGAATTTCCTATCCTTTATCAGATTGCTAAGTTGAACTGGAACCCCTAAAAATGGGAACTTGAACTGGGCATGTAGCACATGCCTGTTCTACTGCTGGGGATCCCAATGTGGATTGAGAGTTCAAAGCCAACCTTGAACCTTAAAGAGACCTTATTTCAAAAATCCGGACTACAAGTACAGCTGAATGACTAAGCTTAATATTCTTATGACAAAGCCCTCATACCTTCATATAGCATCATAGCATTGCAGAGTCTGAGTTCAGAAGACTCAGAAGATATTGGTTTGGGGCAGTTATCCCTCTAGCACTCCCAATAGGAAGCTGTGCCTGTGTCTGAATTAAAGGAGCATTTTTATTGATTTACTACACAGCACAGTCCATTGCTGAACAGCTCTGCTTTTTAGAAATATCTTCCTTATATTTGGCTGAATTCTGAACCATGTCGTTTACCTCATGTCTTATTTATTTTGTACCTTATTAGCTCTGTCCTTGGGTCACTCAGAAGAATCAGCATGAAAAGATGCGGGAGCCATTCTTTTTTTTTCATTATTTTTTTATGTGTATGCATATATTGCCCGCATATAGGTAAGTGCACCTGTGTCATGCAGTGCCCTTGGAGGCCAGAAGAGGCTGTCAGATCCCCTGAAACTGGAGTTACAGACAGTTGTTAGCTGCCATGTGGGTACTGGGATTCAAACCCTGGTCTTCTGCAAAAACAGTCAGTGTTCTTAACTGCTGAGCCATTTCTCCAGCCCCCAAAAGATGCAGGAGCCATTCTTAAAGCTGGAACCTGCTAGGCATAGTGGCACACGCCTTTAATCCCAGCACTCAGCAGGCAGAGGCAGGTGGATCTCTGTGAGTTCAAGGCTAGCCTGGTCTACATAGTGAGTTCCAGGACAGCTGGGGCTACAGGGAGACCCTGTCTCAAAAAGACCAAAAAAAAAAAAAAGCTGGAACCCATATTTCTCAGTAGGCCTTTTCCTTTTCTAGCTAAACGAATACCTTTCCTTCATCAGGTTTTAGGATGGGATGTACTTTCTCTATTTGTCACCATACCTGGGACCAGTTTGTTGCTGTCCTGAGGAGGATGCTGTGGCTGCTGGTGTTATTCTGTCTGAGGTGTTTCTGGGAGTGTTATTTCCCATGCAACTACTCCAGCTCTCTTTCAAGGGGCTGCCGTCACTGCGTCCCACTCCATCAGTGATGGGTGATTGGCTCAACCTGAGCACTGGACCTAAGTGAGGGGTGGGGAGGATGAATCCCCCATGGTCAGAGTCCCCTTCACTGTCATACACAACACACATTTGAGACTCCCAGTCCCTCTTCTGGTGCTCTTCTTTCCCTGGCACTTTCTGCCATTCCTGGACCGAGTCATATTCTCCTGGGAGGCAGTGAGTAAGAGGCAGTTAGCAAGAGGCAGCGAGCTCCATGAGGGCCGGCCTATGCTTCTCAAGGCTGGGTCTCTAGTGCTTAGAGCAGTGCCTGCCACAAGGCATTCATAGTGTGTCTTGCTTTCTCTGTCTGTCTGTCTTGCTTGGAGGACTGGCAGAGCGGCTGCGGGCTAAGCTTTCTATGTCAGCAGCCTGAGGAGAAACTACCCTAGGACCTGAAGGGAACTTGTGAAGAGTTTCAGAGGTGGAGGGGTAAGGGTGGGGAAGAAGGCCATGGCAGCCCCAGTCTTCCCCTTGTCTCAGAGCTTTGCTGTCATTCTATGGTACCAGGCTTTGCCTTTGGCTTTGGCAAATGCCTGCTGGGGATTCTTTTCTTTGTTCATGGTACCTAGCTCTGGGTGGCCAGTGGGAGCCAGCAGATCTTTCTTCTGCATTTTGACCAAAGCTTTCAGGGAAGATTTTTGTGTTCTGATGGGTTTTTTTTTCCTAGGTTTCCTAGGTTTTTTTTTTTTTTTAGTTTCTGAAACTTGAAAGTTTAATACTTTTCAGTAGTTTGAGATAAAAAGCATTTTCTTTTGTGTATTTCTGCCTTTAAAAATTGTAAACTTTACACTCCTTTTTCTGTTTATCACATGAGAACCTAAAAGCATTTCTTCTGTAGGTACAGAAGGGCCAGATGTCAGCATCTCAGAAGAGAGACAAAGTGTTGCTGAGAACTCTGGGACAACCATCATTTACAATCCCTATGCTGCCCTCTCTATAGAGCAGCAGAGGCAGAAGCTGCCAGTGTTCAAGGTATGGCAAGTCTGTGGCTGGTATTGCTAGCTTGACTCTGAAGGGACAGGGGACTGCCACTGAATAGTTCAGTAGGATTTAGTGAGCTGGGGAGACCCCATTTTAGCGTGTGAACGTGTGTGTGTGTGTGTGTGTGTGTGTGAGAGAGAGAGAGAGAGAGAGAGAGAGAGAGAGAGAGAACAGACCTTGTAAGGCTGGGAAGTCTTTAAGATTTCTCTGAGATCTTCCATATGGGAAACAGGAAGAACTGGAAAGGCACCTTTTCCTCCCTTCACTGCTTTCACTTATGGACAGTTTCAGTTACAGAAAGTGACCCAGTAGCACTTGAATCTGCATCTCCAGAGTCAATGTGTTGTTAGCACATGGCTGGCCTTTGCTTTCTTTTTCTTTTTCTTTCTTTATTTTAAAATATATTATTTTTATGATTTTCACTTTACATGTACGAGTATATTCCTGCATGTGTGTAAGTGCACCTGTGTCATGCAGTGCCCACAGAGGACAGAAGAGGACATCAGATTCCCATGGAGCTGGAGTTATGGATGGTTGTTAGCCACCATGTGGGTGCTGGGAATTGAGCCCAGATCTTCTCTAAGAGCAGCCAGTGCTCTTAACTGCTGAGCCATCTCTCCAGCCCCTGCTTTTTTTAAGGACATAACAAAGTTAACTGTGAATTGGAGATTAATTAAGAGATCTTATGCCTTAATGAGACAGTTCTGGGACTGTGGGATTACCAGACACTTGCCTGTAGGAGTGCTGATGAAATGGTCATGCTCAGTTCACTGGAGACCAAAGTAAGCAGAATCCATTTTGAGTCTTATCATTTATGTTGACCTGTGGTCCTTCAGTACCGATGGACACTGTCAATGAACCTGTTGACTGCTTCACATGGGAGGAGGTAGCTCAGAGGTGGGCTCAGATGTACTTGGCGGATACTGATTTCAGGTAGCCTCTGATGAGGGGACTGAGGTTTGAGTTTTGCCAGCCTCATGTAGTATCTTTGGAATGACCTGTGTAGGTGTAACCAGCACACATGCCTCTCTATCTTTCTCCTGACAGAACTGGGTGAAAGATACCAAGTTTTTTTCCTTTTTTTCTTTTTGTGGTGCTGAGGATTGCATCTAGGACCTCAAAGGAGCCAGGCAGGACCTCAAGCCCTGAGCTATATCCCCTAACTCTTTTTTTTATATAAATGAAAACTTGCTCACTTGTACAGTCTAGCCTTGAACTCATTCTGTAGCCCAGGCAGGCCTTGAACTTGTGATCCTTTTGCCTTAGCTGCCCAAGTATCTGGGATTACACGCTGGTGCTACGAGGGCCTGTAAGACGCTGAGTTCTTACATGTAGCTTAGACTGTTGGTCTCTTCTGTTAATATGTTCTTTTTCCAAATTGCTATGAAATAGTCGCCTTCTTAACTTAGCTAAGTTGCCTCTGTTGGAGTTTTAGATGACCCTAAACATTTGAGTCCATTAGGACCTGCTAGTGTCTGGGTTTCTTCCTCAGGTGACCAGTGCTATCCATACTATGTGACTGTTAATGAGTGGGACCCTCAGGAGATGAAATGATATGTTTACTCTTGCTTTCTCACCACTGAGGCCACCGCTTTTGCCTGGTGATGAAGCTTCTGGCCTCCAGGGTAGGCTTCAGGGCTCTACCCTGTTTTGTCATTCATGTGCTGTATGAACTTGCTTCACCACTGTGAGCTTCCATTTCCTTATCTGTGATGTGGGATTAATAGCACCGCCTTGTAGGAGTGCTGGGCATCCTGGGTGAGATACTGGGTGCAGTGTTTAGTAAGGAGCCTGACTCGCAGTAAATGCTCAAGTACAAGGGCATTCATTATTGTTTACTGAGTATTTAAATTTTGACCTTTTTTTTTGACTGTTCACCATTTTCCAAGTGTGCATAAGTTAAATGAAACATAGATAAAAGCAAGTTGAACTATATTGATAGACTCAGAAAGAAAAGAACAGGTGTAGTTATTGACATAGAGCAAAACAGAGCCCAAGAGCCGCTGAAATCTTGTAGGATGTTAAGACAGATCTAGATAAGAAAGACAGTTATTCCTTCACTCTCTTTCCTGTTTGAACTAAAAGTAAAGGTAGCTTTGAAAGTTTGTGGTAGTGCACCTTCCAGGCATAGCGAGAGTCTGGGTTTGTGCCTCAGCATCACTGCAACAACAGTAAATAGAAGCTAGGACTCAGACAGCAGGCAGCCTTTGAGATCACCCCTTTCCCCATGTGTTCCCAAGGCAGCTTCCTCAGCTACCCTCCGCAGCTGGTATCTTTCAGTCTCTGGACACTGCTGCACAAAGGTGTCTTATGCCAGGTCTCTTGTCTGAAGTTCATGCGGTCCTCACTGGCATTCTTGGGGCTTGCTGAACCTGGTGATGGCACTGTGCCTCTCCCTATTTCCACACTAGCCATCTTTCTGTCACATCTTTCCATGTCTCACTTTGGATTTCATTTACAACACTTCTGACACCCATTAGGTTGAAGCACATGAAGTTGGAGTTATTGCCTTCGATTCCAACCTGTCCAAGTCAGTTTTGTGTGCTGCTGCCCATTTTTCTACAAATGCATGCAGTCTGGCTGCCTCCTAGGTCAAGTCCAGACTTTAGGTTTGCATTTAAGGCCTCTCACAGTGGAGCACTAACTGTTCCTCTTTGAACTCAGTACAGACCAAACCTGAACATTCCACTTACCTCCAAACCACCCTCCCTGCCTTCCTCCCACCTTCCCACCAACCTACCTCAGCCTCCTGAGTGTTGGGATTATGGGTGTGTGTACCATCACACCTGGAGTCATTAGCCCTTCATAATTTCCCTCCAACAGACTGTACATGGCTTTTTTAAATCAATTTTATTTACTTTTTTTTTCAAAAAATAGTTTTTATTTAGTGTGTGTGTGTGTGTGTGTGTGTGTGTGTGTGTGTGTGTGTAGGTGTGTGTAGGACTTACGTGCATATGTGCAGCTTGTGGGAATTAGTTTTCCTCTTTTACTATGTGGGTCCCAGGGATTGAACTTGGGTCATCAGGCTTTGTGGCAAGCACTTTTACATCACGACAGCCATCTCCACAGCCTCTCCTTTGCTTTTCTTATTTGTGTTTTCCAGAATGCCTTATCTGGTTCTCTGTTTATAGCTATTTAAATCATATTTCAAGTTTTCTTTGGCTGCCCATCCAGTCATCTGTTCATCCAGTGAATTTGCCATTTACAGAATGACTGCAGAGATCAGCAGCTTTTCCTTCCCTACGCCCAACATGAAAGGCATGTCCAGGCCATTATTTGACAGTTATTAGACCACCTGCAGTATAATCTTCTTAGGGCATGTGTATACATAGAGATTCCTTGGTCCTACCCGGCCCTCCTGGTTAGAAACCTGGATGGTAGGGCCAGAATTCTCACTTTTAATGAGTGATTCCCAAAAGACTTTCACACTAAGGAAGGCCTGAGGACCTTAGATGCCAGATTCAGAAGCCATATAGAACCTGCAGTATCCCAACTCTTCCTATCCCCACTAAACACCTCGGGGTTGTTTGGGTGGTTCAGGTGTGTGCAGCTACAGATGTGCTGAGTGCTGATGGGAAGAGGGAGCCCCAGGCAGGTTTCCCAATTAGGCATTCACGGAATGCCTTCCTTCCCTTCCAGCCATCAAGGGAAGGGTGTCTGTAATTAGCCTTGCTTCAGAAGCCTTCTGAAGCTAAGTGGGTAGGACATTGGGGTTATCCGTGTGGCTTTTTACTGGCCAAGCCAGTTTCTGCTCACGCTGAATGGGTACAGGAGTCTCAGTTACCTGTGGGTACTTCATTGCGAACTTTGATTTATTTTTTTTGAGATAGGGTCTCACTATGTAGCCTAGCCTTGGCTTACCTGAAACTCACTATGTATACCAAGCTGCCTTCAAACTCACAGAGATCTGCCTGTATCCTGACTGCTAGGATTAAAAGGCGTGTACAGTCATGCCCAGCTTAATTTAGTTTTAGTTTTGTTTTTTTTTCACATGTTAATACATTTTAAAAATTTAAATTAGGGGTTTGGAGAGATGGTTCAATGGTTAAGCACAGTGGCTGCTCATACAGAGAATCCAGGTTCGAGTCCCAGCACCCACATGGTGGCTAACAACTGTCTGCAACTCTCAATTTCAGGGAATCTGACGCCCTCTTCTGGCCACCACATGCATTGCATACACATAGTTCACATATATATGCAGGCAAAACACATGAACAGAAAAGTTAATTAGGTAATGCATACGTGCTTACAAAATCCAAAGTTCTTCAGATACCTGTCCCCCATCCTTCCCCTGACTTGGATGCAGCACTGTTTACAGTTTCTTGTTTTATTTTTCCCCAAAGAGTGTCTATATGTCTCTCTCTGTTGCTCTCTTTCTCTTTACTCCTTTCTTTAAAAACGTGGTGGAGCATGCCTTTAATCCCAGCACTCGGGAGGCAGAGGCAGGCAGATCTCTGTGAGTTCAAGGCCAGCCTGGTCTTACATAGTGAGTTCCAGGACAGCTGGGGTACAAGGAGACCATGTCTCAAAAAGACCAAAAAAATTTTTTTTAAAGATTAATCCCAGCACTCGGGAGGCAGAGGCAGGCAGATCTCTGTGAGTTCAAGGCCAGCCTGGTCTACATAGTGAGTTCCAGGACAGCTGGGGTACAAGGAGACCATGTCTCAAAAAGACCAAAAAAAAAAAGCAATTACTAGGGGCCTAGGGTGATGGCTGAGTGGATAAGAGCACTTGCTTTACAAGCATGAGGCTCTGAGTTCAGATCCCAGCATCCATGTTAACAAGTTTGATATGACCCAGCATGTGCCTGGAACCCCAGTGCTCTGGGGGTGGAGACAGGACGGTCACTGGGGCTTCTGGGCTGTCTTCTGCCCAGCTTCAGGTTCAACAAGAGGCCTTGTCTGAACGGAGAACGAGGGGAATGTTAGAGCAAGACACCCAGTGTCCTTCCCTGGCATCTGCACATGTGTGTGTACACCACACACACACATCCACACCACATCCACAGGGACACACGCACACACATACAAGTACATCATTCACACTTTCTGTTCCTTGCTCTCTTTTCTTAGTATATCTTAGAGATTTGTATAGTAGTACAAATAGACATTTGTTTTTTAAACAACCGAGTTGTTCCATTATTGAGCATTTCATAACTGATTCGCCCATACTCCGTTGATGAACATTTAGGCTGTTTGAATTTTTGGCTATAATAAATAATTTTTGGATGAGAATTATTTATATACTTTTTTTTTTGATCCTGGGTGTCATGTAGCCTAGGCTGGTCTTGAACTTGCTATGAAGCTGAAGATTACCTTGAACTTGTGATCCTCCTGTCTCTAACTCCTAAGTGCTGAGATTACAGGCGTGGGATTGTCAGGCTGTGCCTATGCCTGACTTTTTATATAAACCTTTTGTGTACCTGTATATCTGTAGTATCATTACTTTTTTGGGTGGGGTGTTAAAATATTTAAATTTATTTATTTTTGATTTTTTTGTAGTATTATTTTTTATAAGTGAAAATCTTGAATCAGAGAGTGGGAATATTATGCATTCTTCAAGTATTTTGCTTGTAGCCGAGCTCATACCGACACCAGTGGCACTTGTGAGCTGGAAATACATTTTGCTAGTTCTTTTTAAAATTTACTTTCCTTTTGAAGCAGTTCATTTCACAACTTTGAAATATTTTTGTTTCGGTCTTTTGAGACAAAATAAGATTACTCATAATACCTAGTTCTTCTCTTCCAGCTTAGGAATCACATTTTATACTTGATTGAAAACTATCAGACCGTGGTGATTGTTGGAGAAACAGGATGTGGGAAGAGCACCCAGATTCCTCAGGTGAGTATGCGTTTAATAGGTGTCCTTTCGTGCAGGTTTAGTTGGGAGGACTTCATAACTTGGGGGTGCTCCTTCATATCCTCTCAGGAAATCACCTCAGATTAAAAAAAATTTTTTTGGTTTATTTATTTTTATTTTATGCGTATGAGTATGTAAGTGTACCAACTGCATGCAGTGCCTGCAGAGGCCAGAAAAGGGCATCAGCTCCCCTAGAACTGGAGTTCTGGGTGGTTGTTAGCACCATGTAGGTGCTAGGAACTGAACCTGGGACCTCCTCAAGAGAAGTGTTTGCTCTTAATTGGTGAGCCATCTCTCCAGCCCCTGTATCTCCTTTTTGAAGCGTGAATGTTTTGATACACCTTGCCTTTTCTTCACTTAATGTGCTGTTCTCTTTTCAGTTCCATAGATTCTAGTCTACATAGATGATTTATTTTATCAATCCCCAGTTGATGGAGATCTGCATTTCTAGTTTTGTATTATCACAGTAATGTAGTGAGTTAACCTGATACACATGTAGGTATACTTTTAGAATAAATACCAGTAGGTCTCGAACTATTGGGTCTAAGTGCATGTGCATTAGAATTTAATTATTTTAAGGAACTGTATCATATATATATATATATATATACACATTTTCTTTGGCTAAGAAATATATTTACACAGTAAGAAATTCAAAATGTACAGAGGAATGTTGCAAAATGAATCTCTTCAGCTTTGCTGCTGGAAATGAGGCCAGCATTAGGCTTGTTTGTGTTACTGGTCCAAATTCCTGCTGTTCCTCTTGCAGAGGGCTCGTCTCTTTTCTGCTAGCCACTCATTTCCCCTTCTCTGAGAAAGACAGTCACTGTTTTGATTTAAGCTAAGTTTGCATTATTGCCTAGGAGAATTGGAAAGACTGAGGAACTGAAGATAAACAGAGTGGGCTTTTCTCAACAGACTATTTTGGCAGATTTACATAGTATTTTTCCTTGGAAAAGTCCAAGATGCTGAAGCACTGAACACCAGTTTTGAGATGCCACAGATTAGAACTGGAACTTAGTTGCTGTTTTTTTTGCAGTGGTCTATAATCTCCCTCTCTCTCTCTTTCTTTCTTTTTCTTCTTTCTTCTTTCTTCTTTCTTTCTTTCTTTCTTTCTTTCTTTCTTTCTTTCTTTCTGTCTGTCTGTCTGTCTGTCTGTCTGTCTGTCTTTGTCCTTGTCCTTGTCCTTGTGGGGTCTTGTCCGGGAGAGCACTGCCTGCACTGCTGCCTCAGGTGCTGCCTGTGCATTTTCCTCTGGTGATTTCGTAGTCTCAGTCCTTGTCTTGTCTTTGTCTTGTCTTGTCTTTTTGGTCTTTTTGAGACAGGGTCTCTCTGTAGCCCCAGCTGGCCTGAAACTCACTATGTAGACCAGGCTGGCCTTGAACTCACAGAGATCCACCAGTCTCTGCTGGGATTAAATGTGTGTGCCACCACGCCTGGCACCTCTCTCTTACTCTCTCTTTCCCTCTTCTTGTCTTCCCCTCCCTCCCTCCTTTGCTATATACCCCAGGCTGACTTTCTAACTCATGATCCTCCTGCTTCAGCCTTCTAATTACTGGGATCAAAGGCACGAACCATCATGCCTGGCTTGAAAAAAAGCTTTTTTAAACCAAGTTTTATTAATACCATTAATGGTTCAGTTCTTATTCTATTTTTCTTTATCTAGAAGACCACATCTGGGTATTCTTTAACAGTAGACACCTGATACAGGATTAGGTTCTGGTCCTGTGACCATCCACCTTGATACTGTGGCTCTCTATGTCAGCCCTGCACCAGCTTTTGCAGTGCTTTTTAAAAAATGTGTATGTGTGTGTGTGTGTGTGTGTGTGTGTGTGTCTGTGTCTGTGTCTGTGTCTGTGTCTGTGTCTGTGAGGCCAGAAGAGGGCATCAGACCCTCTAGAGATGGAGTTCCAGAAGGTTGTGAGCCACCCAACATGAGTGCTGGGAACTAAACTCAGGTACTCTGAAAGAGCAGTGTGTACTCTACCATGACCTATCAGTCTCTCTAGCCTCCTTTGCAGCATTTGACATTTTCTTCCTGGGAGCAATTTTTTTTTTTTTTTAAGTATTTATTTTTTTTTTTTTTAAGTATTTATCTTTTTTTTTTTTTAAACATGTGTGACTATTTTGCCTGTACATATGTAAGTGTATTATGTACTTGCAGTGCCTACAGAAGCCAGAAGAGGGCATTGGATCTCCTGGAACTGGAGTTGTGGATGGTTGTTAGCTGCCATGTGGGTGCTGGGAACTGAACCCATATCCTTAGAAAAAGTAGCCAGTGCTCTTAACCTTCTCCAGCCCATCTTTCTGGCAGCAGTTTTAAGCTGCCAGTTGCATAGTATATTTTATTTTTATGGAAATTATGTGTCTTCCACATAGCACTACTGCTCAGAGAGCATCTGGGTATGTTTGCTTGAATTTGGATGGTTGAGTTGTGGTCTCTGATCAAGGCTTTGGTTTGCTGGACTTGAACTCCAGCTCTTAGATTTTTTTATTTATATTTTATGTGTATGTGTGTATTGCCTGCATGTAGGTAAGTGCACCCATGTCGTGCAATGCCCACGGAGGACAGAAGAGGCTGTCAGATCCCCTGGGACTGGAGTTATGGACAGTTGCTAGCTGCCACGTGGGTGCTGGGATTCGAACCCGGGTCTTCTGCAAGAACAGCCAGTGTTCTTAACCACTGAGCCATCTCTCCAGCCCTGTGCTCTTAAATTTTTATCTGCTTCCTTGGGCATGTGACCTCTTTGTTCCCTCATCTGTGTGCTGCTGCTGCTGTCGTCCCTGTAGGATTTGTTATAGGGTTAGTTACTTGGGGAAATGCATGGAAGGTACTCCGCAGTGTTCTGGTGCTGAGAGGCACTCAATGAACCTTAGCTTATGTTCTTGTAATTCTCATTGTGTATTTGTGTTGATTGGAGTGGTTGGCATTTTCTTGTGTCTGTAACTAATATGAGACACTTTACAGTTTTTGTAGTGAAAAACTTGTATTGTGTACATTTTGTTCCTCACAGTCATTTTTAGACTTTATTTTGTTAGTTTTAGACCAACAGTAAAGTCACAGAAATGAGCACAGTCCCTTTTGCTCCCTGTGTTACTTTTGGTGCAGTAAGGAAAAGTGGGGTGCTAATACTAGTACAGGAATCAGACTATAGGTTGAATCTAAATCCCTGTCTGTTTTCTCTACCAAGTTGCTTTTTCTGTTCCAGGATCCTAAATAGCATTTAGTGAGCTACTCTCTCTAGTCTACTCCAGGTTGTGGGAGGGCCTCCCTTCCCTCATCTTTCATGACCATGACACTTGTATAGAGTAGTACTCATTTTTGTTGTTGTTGTTGTTTGAGTGTTTTGTTTTGTTTTGAGACCCTGCAGCCCCAGCTGGCCTGGAATTTGCAATGTAGACCACGCTGGCCTTGATCTCACAGAAATCCACTTGCCTCTGCCTCCCGAGTGCTGGTATTAAAGGCAAGTATACCATCACGCCTGGCTTCTCATTCGTTTGTTAGAACGGCTCTCTATGTAGGTTTCTATTATACTCTCTCATGGTTAGAAAAAGCTTGTGCATTTTTGCAAGAATACCTCAGAAATGGTGGTGTGCAGTGTATCAAAGATTTGATCCTGTTGGTGGTGATGCCAGCCTTGGATGCCAGGTTAGGTGCCAGGTGTCACCTGTAAAGCTGCTTTCTGTCTCTTTGTAGTTGGTAAGTTTCTTGGGGTAGATAATTTCTAACTACAAACATTTTTCTCTTTAAACTTTGACCATCTAAGCTTAAGACAGATTTATTTATTTATTTATTTATTTATTTATTTA